AAAACTAGCTAGAAACCCGGATGAAAAATTTTCTTCTTTCATAGATCGACGTCCCTCAGACTCGTCTATAAGCTGGCGAAAACCGTTTCACAATATATCATCGCGTTCGTGAGTTATTCATCTTACAATCACTCGCCTTCTATTTTGAAATGGATAGTAGTTCATGTCAACGCACATAAATTTTCTCATGTGATCATTATTGATTAAAAGAGAATATTACTTCTGTTCTATGTTTCATAAATTTGAATCAAGAAAACGTGTTTTTTCATCCTGTTGAATAATAAGACCTCTTTCGTTGGTTGTTTATCGAAAATCCGAGCATATCTTTTTCAAATTATTGTTCATGTTCATTCGAGATGAGCATGCATCAACTGTTTTCTCCCAGTTCTATCTGACAGTACCATGTTATAATTTTCATTTGTCATACTGTAAGACCATCATCGACTTTATACCCACACCTACAGTCACACCCAAACCCCACACCCAAATAGCAACATAATTGTTTTATTAAAGGGTTCTTTGTTCATTAAGGCGAAAATCAGTCATTTATGTGTGAGAAACTTGTTCAGAGTCCATACAAAAGCGAAAGCTAAGGAAAGTTTGATAATCATTCTGGTTTCAGTTAGACTAGAGAGGATCTCAGTAATTCTTCGCATAAATTCAGTTTGATTTTGTGAATGTCGAAGAAGTTCTTGTAGTATCTCTCGAGTATTATTAGTTTCAGTTTGAGATAATGATGAAGTATTCGTGAATACTCGTTGACGTATATAATTGACAAACTGAGAAAATTCTTCCTCGGTCATTGACTGAGCATCATGGTTATTCTGCTGAATTGATTCTCTGAAATCACGAATAACAGCTCGAAGGCAATCATAGTGAACTCGATTATTAGCAGATGTAATCGTAGTTGAAGTGCTCATCACAATTGTGCTTTGTGTATTATCAACAGGAGATGAAATACAAGTTTGAGCTACAAATATAAATGAACAATTGAATGTTTATTAAAGTTAAAAATTTTACTCACTAGGCGATATCTGCAATCGATCCGCAATTACCTGAATTTCAGCAACCAATTCTTCAAAGACCATATCAAAATTATCCGATGAAGAAAAATCAATATATAATTTATCACGTATTAGTATACCCAGCCAACCTTTGGGTTCATATCCTTTTTCCAAGAGACAGGGAATAAAATCGATGCGTCTTTTGTCAGTGTACAAAGCTTCTATAATATATTTTATCATTAACAAGCTACTAGGACAATAAAATATTACTGAATAAATTACCTTTTTGACAAAATTCACTTTCGAAATAATGATGGTTCATGCAAAAAAGAACAATGTAGGAATTTTCGACTGCTTCAGCCATTCCTTCATGTATTGAGCCGTGCAGATTATTTGTGTCCATCCATACTTTGCAGCCTCGACTCTATCAATGAAATAATCAGATGATTTTATACGAATAAACTCATTGATATGTACCCTAAGTTGAGTACAAATTCTTTGGGATATGTGAAATGATGAGTCATGATGATAACTTATCATAATATGTCGTCCCGATTTGAATTCCACTTGCCTATTATCATCAATCGTCGTTGGTGTTTGAGCTTCTGACTGACCTACAACAAAACAATGAGAATGCTTGTTTTACATAAAATTTTCATCACTCTATCTGTATACCGATCGGTGTAGGAGGCAGCGACGCAGTAGTATTGTTGCCTTGAATGAAAAATTCAACAGAATTGGTCGCAATTGAAGTGCTAATTGGATCACAGATCGATGATAAATCGTTGTTAAGCTCGTTCAAGGCGTCAACGAAGGATGTTGCTAAATAGATTAAAAACAACACGAGTATGGTTTAAATGAAATCTTGTATTCTCACCTGTTGCTGCTAGAGATGGTTCAGACAGCGCACGTGTGTCATCTACAGCTGTTAATGTTGATTTACCAATAATATTCGGCAAAATCAGATTATCCAAATCACTGACAACTTCTCCTGCAAGAATATATTAGCAGTATGATATGAGAGTTCATTATATACCATCACTTACGAGCATTTGAGGTTGCGGTTTGTGCTACATTGTCTGTACCATCGAGCAGTTGCTCCTATAAATCGTCAATTTCATTCTCTATGCAAAAAATTTTAGATAAATGATGAAAATAACTTTACTTGTAATACATTAGCGAAGACAGCACCAAGCCGTTCCGATGGTGTTGTTGATTTCTCACTACCATTCGATGAAGCCATGTTTTACTACTGCTCCTAAAAGTAAACAAACGATTGACATACATATACATTGTCCATGATGAAAGTATTGACTTTCAATGTACATTTTCACGATTATTTTTCTCTTTTACATAGTAAAGTAAAGTGTGTGGCATCTATCGTATTTCACGAAACAAAGTGTTCGTTGTGACATATTTTTTTAAATGTTTACAATATCATTAGATTCACTAAAACTTCATATTTGTGAAAAAAAATCTCTAGATATGCCTTACTGTTTCTGTTCTTCACTTCCTAATTTCACTGCACACAGATTTTTTTTATTCTTTCACCTACTTACCTATGTATATTTTCTGTCGTTATAAATAAAATGTGCATATTTTATTGCGAATTTAGCTGTTGCTTTTTTTTTGTTCTTCTTTGATGTTTGCTTGGTCGAATAGAGATAACATCAAAACATTCTTGAATGAGAAGAAAGAAAAAATAGTGAGCAAAAATAAATACCCCCGTCAAAGAATAAGAAAAATAAAATGACTCCATTGTCGTTATACGAAAGAAAAAAAAAATATTTTCATCGTTCTTTTCTTTTTGATTATGAAAAACATTGAAAGATGTTTTATGTACAAAACTAAATAAAATTTTATTTATAATCAAGTTCCAAGAGAATAATTTAAACAATGAATTCTTTATTCTTTTTTTTCATCAATGTCTGCATCAAAACTAAACTTAAAAGAAACAAGTATGATGATTATGAAAAAAAGAAAGAGAAATGAAAAATTAAAGAATATCTTTAAACTCTAAATTTAGTTTTGTAATGCTTGAACAAATCAAAATAGTTAAAGTGTTCGTACACGTTGTTATAAGCAAGATAGCAACATTATTGTGTGACAACAGAAGAGCACAAAAGAATAATTTTACACTAGAAAGAGTGTTCTCTACCCGCCTTATAACTGACGGGAGTATTTCAGTTATAACACACATATGTATCGGAATTGAAATCCTAGAGATTGCATTTTTCTCAGGACCAAGACCAGTTACACTTGTACCTTTCCATAGTTCTAGTTTACCGTGAAACAGCGAGAAACAAGGACTGATCGACGAGCCACAGGTATAAACTGGCGTTTGTCGCTTTGATGCAGCTACTTGCAATAGTTGCCATCCACTTTCGAGTAGAGAAATTATTTAAATTTATATGACACAGAACAACATATTCATCTAGATATAATATTATATTCAACGATACTTTTGCCAAAATATTCCTGAACTATTTGTTCTACTTCTCGAAAAGTTGAAAAAACGCTTAGTTCTTATTATTGACAATCAATCTATGCAGAATATCTCGTGTGACAAAAAAAATAAATAAACTAAGTTTAATTAAATTTAGAAACATAATGTTAAATTTCTGGTGACTCTGAGTAATTGTAAAGCTCTCTTTGATATTGTCACTTTCGAATGAAATCAAATAATTACGAATTATAATATCCATAATTTTTCTTTTCCATAGCAGAATTATGAATATTAAAAAAATAGATAAAATTTTATATAAAACTTCAATTTCAAACAAATTTTTTACGTTGTCAAAATGAATCATTATCTAATTGGAGTACTTACATCAGTCACATGTTATTATGTATGATATCTATATTAAATATAAATTTATTTAATATTATTATATGATTGATAAAATTTTTTCCGTCTTATGAACACCACTAATTAGTTTATTTTGATTGACAACAAATACTGATATTTTATGTAATAGTGAAATGAATCCATTCATCGTAGATAAATATCACTGACTTACAGGTTAACGAAAAGCATTTTAAATTAGGAAGTTTCTTTTAGAAAATATAAGGACAGACAATGAATATTTGTAAAAGTATTATGAATTCATCTTAATTAATAAAAAAACAACCTTTTGATACAAATAACTTACTTTATTATTGATTATTATCGATAAAGAACTAGCGAAAAATCAAATGGTAACTTGGTAAGAGTCTATTATAGCATACAATTCTAATAGAATTGAGGAAAAAACAACTGAAGATGATATATCAAATTATAATCTATGATAAATAGAGCAAGGTGAATCAAAACCTAGATATTGTAAATTACTGAATATAGTAAAGAATTATATGTATATATATAAATGTATTTATATTTTTAATTCAATTTGGTTTTTCACTTTTACGAATATCAATAACAAGTAATGAAAAAAAATCGATGTATAAAATAATATAATTTAAACAAACTTCGCTTTACTAACAATTCTATATATTTTACTTGCTTTTCTATGCTAACTTTTAATAATAATTTAGAACTTAAAATAATCACAATAATCGAGTATCGAAATATTTCATCTCTAGAAAATGTTGTCAATTACCATTGTAGGAATTCGATTAATGTTCCAATTGATAATGAGAACACAATTGAGGTTGAAAGTAGATTAGAAGAAACAGCACTCATGACTGTAGTGCATAACTTGCTATATTATAGGAGAGTGGATGAAGAGAATGCCATCTTGTCGTCCATCTAAGATGCTCATCCAGTCTCACACATCTTACAGATCTATACTCACATTAAACTTACTGCTCAGTCATATGTAGAATAGTTACCGTTAGTAGTCTGTTACATGAATTTCAAATTTTCTATTTCAAAGACATGCATGGAGTCTTTGAGTGCCATATTAATGAATCTAATCTACTCAAATATTCTTTTCATTACCTGAATGACATTTTCGAATTTATGTTCTAGCTTAAGAAAATACTTCTGATTTCAGGTTGTTAGACATAGGCACTGAAAATTCATGCTTTTATTTAGTCAATTTAGTGTGATGTGTGAACTAAATTTATGTGCACCTAACCGTATTTTTGGAACAAGGCTTGCAATCGGTTCGAACTGATCAGTTTAAAATCGAAGCTTCGCTGATGAAAAAGAAATGAAGAAAATAGTAAATCATTGAGGAAAAATGAGGTCATGTGTAAAGCGGAAACAGATCTCGACAGAATGCTGTAGATTAACAATAGAAATGATCTCTCAAAATGAGGCAAAGCCAACTCCTATAAAAATGGAAACGATATCGGACACTGATTTCAATGAAGCATTTAATTTCATGGCACATCATAAATTCGAACTTCGTACCTTTGATTTTTTCTAAATGATTTAAAATCCAAATAATCTGTAGCGCGAAAGTGTTCGCACAAAACGTTCGCTAATTTCTCAGACATTTAGAAGCGATGTTTGGGAGAAAAAAGTATTCAGTCAGAGCCAGAATTTCGAGTTCTTTTAGAATATATATGCACGATGTTCTTTCGACGTAACCTAGACAAGACCATCATGATAGTGATTCACTATGATGAATATGAATGATATTGATGAGTTGTCTCGAGTGGATCCATAACAGTTGACAATTCTCAGAACTGGATTAAGTTGTCGGTATTATTTCAAATGTATTTGCCCTAGTTTTACAAAAAAAACGACTCATTACAACATCCAGTGTTTTTAAAAAGACATGTTCACAATACTCATTTCAGTTCTTTGATCGGAAACTGTCATAAGTCTAGTCTTGAGCAGCATAGTTGAATAAAACAGATTGTTTTTTCTGTTGTTAATGTTCATGTCTGTGTGTTTGATGATAGTGTGAATTGAATTTGACGAAAATCAGCCTATAGAGTTATAAGCTCTATTACGTTTAAGGATGCATAAGCAATGTAATCATTTGGTATGTTTTGATCAATTGATGATTTGTTATTCGGAAACATATGCAAGAAAATTTCATTAGATAATGTACTGGATGAGGAAATATGTACAAAGAATGAGTCATTTTCAATGAGAGACGTTCTAAGTGGAGGACAATTTGTTGATATATCATCATTTGGAAGACTATTCGAATGGATTCTCATTCTAATCTCAAACATTTGAAATTCAACAAATATCCCTTTCTTCCAAACATGCACCACTCATTATAACCTATAACAGTATTGGTCAGCTACATAACAGCGTAGAAGGTAACATTGGTACATGTTCTTTCTATCAAAAACACTTGACACCATCGAACAATGTTTTCTATCCAATTATTGATTACTGGCTATTATCTATAGAAATATTGAAAGAGTACATGATAATCAAGGAGAATACGCAGTCACACTTTTGTTGTTTCAAACGTACACTGGACTTCACACAATATCCTCCATCATCAGCTCATCAACACTACTGTTTCGGAACCATCTTGTGGATGTATGAAAACAATGATGATTTTGAAATGTTGTCCGAGTATGGTTTCATCTATTCTAGGTAACCATTTTTGCGCAGTCATCGATTGAATAATTGTATGTTCAATCAGAGCCACAAGTTTTTAATCAACATTTATTAAGGAATTGTATGTAGTTTTTTTTTACGTATACTATTTTCATTATGAACATTCTTCTGCAATAGTTCTAGTAGTGTTTCTCTTTATCTGCGTGATATATTTTTAACATTTGATTATTTAGTATTGCTCCATTTTTTTCGATCTCTGATGACATGTGCCATAGATGCATAGTCTGATATTGATTGAATCGAAGAAAGTAACAGCTGTCAATTGAGAAAAAGGAGACATTAGACATAATAGAAGAGTCTCTCAAACATATCGATGAAATGATAGAAGTAAAAGAGACTAAATAAACTAAACAAATTAATGAAATATTTGTAAGAATCGTTAACTAAGAAATTCACATTTAAGTAAAAAAGATTGTTTAATCGAGTGTTCTTTTCTAGTACATAAATGAGTCTAACATATATTCTGATATCTACAAATAAAGATTAGCTTCCATAATAAATAAGAATATCCAAGAAAAAACCTCAATAAAAATAGAATGAAGTAAGACACTGAAAAATAAATCAAGAAGAGAAGAACACTTACAAGAATGAATCTTTTTTTTGTGATGTAGCCTTTCATACATCGCCATATATAATTATCATTTTTCATATTTTTCTTTCTCTTTCTTACTTTTCACTTCTTTCGCTGCACGACAATCAGACATCAGCACGTACATTGTATTGTACAAGTATGACACAAAAAAAAGTTTTATTTGTGCTTACATCTCACGATAAACTGCTCAATGGACATTCAACTGGATGGTATCTACCCGAGGTTTGTAAATATTTTTCTCGATCAATTGTATTTCTCTTGAAACTCTATATCTAGGCTGCTCATCCATATTACGCACTCGAACCTTATTTTAAAATCGATTGGGCTAGCCCTAAGGGTGGTAAAGCACCATTGGATCCTTCTTCACTTGATAAATTAAAAGATGATCATATCTGTGTTCAATTTCTTGATGATGAGAAGGCAAAACAAGGAGGATATGAGAATACAAAAAAACTAAGTGAAATCAATCCAAATGATTATGTCGCTCTGTTTTATGTGGGTGGTCATGGACCTTGTTTTGATTTACCGGAAGATGAAGTCAGCATTAAATTGGCAGAAGCCATTTGGAATCAAGGTAAAATTCTATCAGCAATCTGTCATGGTCCCGTCGCTCTCGGTACGTAAGTGATTGCAACAAATACATTGTTTGTTAATTTCATCTAGATACGTTCAAGTTGGAGTCAAAGATGTCGATGGTAAATCAATTTTTGCTGGTCGACGAGCAACATCATTTAGTAATGAAGAAGAAGCTCAAGTCAAAACAACAGATGCTATTCCGTTTCTTGTTGAAACTCGTCTGAAAGAACTTGGAGCGAAGTATGAAAAGAATGATAAAGCCTTTGGTTCTCATGTCACTGTTGATGGACAACGTGAGTCAAAAGAAGTCTATTGAAATCAAATTTTTTACATTTTTTTTTTGCTTGTTGTTAGTCATTCTTGGCGCCAATCCAGCCTCAGTCACTGAATTCAGCGAAAAATTGCGCGATGCCATCAACAAACTATAAAGAGCCAAATACAGATGAAAATGCAATGAAAAGAAATGATCAACGATAATATCTAGAGCAAGCATTTTCTCTTCTGCTCTTTTCTCTAATGAATCGAAAAAATAAAGAAGAAAATCATGCTTAACGTTGAATATAGGAAAGAAAAATTGTGTACTATGCTTTATTTTGCAATATTAGACTCTATTGTGTCCGTATAAGATCTCTTTCGGTACTCTTACACTTTAGAGAACTTATTGGGTTGAAGCGCTGGTGTTTCTTTATTTCAGCTGCAAAAAAGTAACATCATCAAGTTGCCTTTCTTTGCACAGTCATTTAATCCCTTCAATGTAGAATCGTTATAGATGATTATTTCATAATTGACGAAATCAATATTCTTCTGTCGACCGAATGACAAACTGACAAGGCCATTCAATTGATTTACTTGTGTTTCTTTACCGTTCCTGGGCGATCAATTTGAGATAACCTTCAGCTAGATCCCATGACAAACTTCAAGACCAACAATAATGTTTTCCTTACGCACTATGTTTATTCGATCAGTTCACATTTTCAATTATGTCTATTGCATGCAATTCGTGTGATACAGCAAT